CTATTTTTGTATGATAATTATGGGTTTTGTATTTTATTTTAATAGAAGTTGATGTTGCTTTTGCAATTATCCATCAATTTTTTAAAATTAAACACTATCTACAGATTTGCATCGAAGCGTTTCTTATGATAGTGATTTTAATCACTGTCAGATTAAATCTATACTGGACCCTACTATGCAATGTCTCCACTATGCCGCGACCCCACTGTGCTACCGTTTTTTTAATTTTAAATTATAAGTTTTTGCAGTTCATAACCGATTACATTATTATAAATTAAATATAAATATAATCTCAAATAAAATTTAAAACTTCTATTAAACATAACAACATTTTTGTTAAAAATAGTAAAAAATAATAATTTTAATGCAGTAAAAGTGATGCTTGATTAACTGTACCGAAAATTAACTAAGCTGACATAATAAACAACATACATTTCATAAATGCAATCTATTTACTATACTAATGGGCAATAAATAAGATAAGAAAAATAACTCAACCGAGAGGTCTATTAAAAGCAATAATTTTAGTATATTAGAACGACAAATTCAAACAACCGTTTTCAGCAGACCGAACATATATTTTCAAGATGGCGACAAATTCAAATAATAGATGAGATAATAGGAAAAATAGCAAAATATGGAATTCATAAGCCTTAAGAATAATTTCAACGCTCTGTCCCTTTTAATCATACAGACTAATGTAAGCAACGTTGCCAGTTGGCTTATGAACTTATTTCCAACCCGCGGGACACGAAAGAACACGACTGAGTAACTATTGGTAAAGATAGGTTTCATTACATATACATTCATGACACTTTCATTTTATTCATCTGATTATTTGAATTTGTCGCTCTTACTACTTACGTCGATTGACTTCAATATTCATTATCTCGAATGTCTGTCCACTGAATTAATTAAATAATCAATGAATTTGTCACCAATTTGTTTTTTAGTTTACAATTTTTTGCTCTAATGTATTAGTGATCGGGTTTGATTAATCTTATCATTTAACATTATTTCACGACCGCGCTCTTTTATCCGTCATTTATAAAAACTTGCTAATTTCCTAAGTACTGGTCAAAAAGTTGTTATCGACCAGTCATTTTCTTAATTAGAGTATATTCTATTTTATAAGCTAGTTCAATATATATATATATATATATATTACCATTAAAAAAAAATTAAGGTAAAAATATAGTTTAAAAAACTCGCTTTTAAAGCACATCGAACTAAAAAGTTTAAAATAAGCTTAAAACAATAATGAACGAAAAATACTAGTATTACTGTGATAAAAGCGTCGGGCCAACCGAACCCAACTGTTCTAGTTTTTGTCTTAAAGGCTCGATCTTCAGACGGTATTTCTGATTGCGGAACTTGATAGGCGGCTTCCAATTTCAGATTATATTTAAACGGCTGTTGTCTATCACTAATAATTTCACCAAGTTTAGCGATCAGTTGAGGTTTAACTGTATGCAGATAATCTCGATAGCTCGCGAATTTTTCAACGTTTTTTTGGTAAAACCAAATAGCGCCTCTATGTAAAATCGAATCTATCTCAATGAAATCAGCTGTGCTAGTCAAATGTAATCGCGCAAGTTTCGATTTCACTATACAGTTCTCAACCCTATTATTACGTTTAACTGACTGACCAAACGAATTAAATTGTTTTATTTTTTTAGTAATTTAATGAAAGTATATTTTTGAATCTGATGAAAATACCTCGTAAAACCTTTAATTCATAATTAACAACAAATTTTTTCTGAAAGTTTTGTATTAAGTCCTTCAATTTTTATACACGTTTGCATAAAAGTAATAATTACTTTACAATTTTTTATAAATTATCCAAAAAAACTTCAATATTAAATTATTAAATATCAATCTTTGACAATATTAAATTGATATAATAAATATTTATTCATATATTATACTCTAAATTAAAGAATTATTAATCAGGAATAACGAAGGAAATAGGAATTTATTTTGCTTTTGGTATAATCCATCAATTTCTTAAAATTAAATACTATCTACAGACTACATATTCTAGAAATACTGCGAGTTTCAAACATATGTTAAAATAATGTTTGTGTTACGTACTATAAGTTAAAAAAAAATGATTTAAGTGTTAATTATATTAATATGTTCAGGGAGAATTTTTGCAACTTTTAATGTCAATCCAATACGCGTATTAAAAAGGGGACTGCCCTTCCCCAAAAAAATGTACTAGCATTAGCTTATGATAAATTAAGATAATGAAATACAAAGTGATTCTCTTCTTGATAACCACTATTATCCACTCGATTTATCTTAAAATAATAATTATGTAAAGAAAATCATTTTTAGTGTTTTTTGTTTCATATATTTCTATCTACAGTCTTGCATCGGAACATATCTTTTGATAGTGATTTTAATCTTTCTTAATCTCAACTTTTAAAAACTAGTTAATACTATTTTCAATATGTTTGCAATATTTGAAGAATATTTTAATGTTTACTCTCTTATTTTATTTATAAAAATATACATTATTATCAATATCAATAATATGAAAATGAGATTCATAAATTACAAGTATTTACTTATTGATAATACTTATAAGTAATTCAATATGCATTAGTTCACTTTGCAAATTTTACTTTAGACAGCATGATATATCATAAATAAAAAATTATATAACATTTATATATATATATAAATATACACAGATATAGGAAGATAGCTTAAAAAAATTACATGAAACTTTATAAAACAGTCCATTCCTTAATTCGGTCACCAATAGCTTTTACAGTCTGAAGTGTTTTAGATTTTTGTTTAATTTTATTGAGCTCCAATGTAAACTCTTCACATCGACGTTCAAATACATCTTTATTATCGATCTCACAATTTAATCTGTTATTAATAAATGTTGTAAACATTGCAGTCTCGGTAAACCACTCTAAAAAATTTTGATGAGCAGTATTTGATCCAGCATCAATGAATGGTTGTTTCTACAAATAAAAGAGCAAAAAAAAAAAAATACTCTTAATGTTTATTTTTAACCATTATTTTCTGAACACACCTCGTAATGGTTTATTAGTTAAGAAAAAAATTATTTTTTATCTGTTTATAATGGCCCTGGTAAGTAATTATTTAAAAAGTTTTACTTGAGAGTGGAATGACAGAGCCCATGGGTTTATAAGTATAACATAATTTCAGCACCCCCATAATTTTTGCTTTAGTTGATCTAATATAAAACTATATAAGTTACTTATTCAACTGAATATTTACTGGATTTCATGTTAACACATTATATTATAAGTGATAGATAAGATCATTCTAGAACTTTTCTGATTTTAAAAAATATATAAATTTTGTAGTACAACATTTTAGAATGAAAAAAAGGAAACCTGTTATATAAATTAAATACAAATTGTTATATAACATATTATTCTTACTTAGGATTGAAATATCAAAGTAATTTACCTGAAAGTGAAATTTTTTATTTTGTGAACTAGGCAATATAAACATTCTGAAATGACCCACTAGTTCAACAAATAATCTTATAAGAGATTCAGATGCCAAAATTGCTTTGGTAGAATGTTGTAGTTCTACTTTTAAACTCATTACATTCTTTAAGCCTTTAGCAATTCTTGAAGGTATAACACTATATTCATCTTTTACTTTACGCAATATCTTATTAGTATCCAAATCAAATATAAACACCTAGAATTCAATATTTTATGTATAATATATATCTGTATATATGTACATATTTAATGATAACAAAGTTAAGTAAAGTTATATTATTCAAATAAATACATAATGTGTCCTATATTCATTTTTTAAATAAAATTATCAACCAAATAAATAGTTTCTAAATATAAAGTGCTATGTGATAAGGTAATAATTGAATAATTTATTTGAAACTGTTTAATTTTTAGGATATTTAAAAATAAACATGTGATAATATAACAATTTGTTTGGTACATATATCACTAAATAAAATAAATTATTTTTATACTTTAATTATTTTGCTAAATATAATATATGCATTTTTTTAAATAATAATTCCGGTTTTTTGTAATTATTTATTTAAGTTAACTATCTTATATAAATTATTTTTAAAAAGTAATCTAATGATTGAATATTTCAACTCTCAATAGTAGTTAAAAATCAAATTTATTAATTATATTATATTATATTAATTATATTATATATAATTATAATATGTTTATTATAATTATTAAAGTATTATTTTACTACTGATTCTACAAATAGCTATCCATAAATATCTTCACAATTTATACATTTAAATCTTCTACATTTTCTTGTAAAATATAACTCATTTTTAATTAAAGGATTTTTTTAAATAGTATTTTTTTAAAGAATTATCTATAAGAAAAATTAACTAGTGTACAGAATGTTATATTATAGTGGTATAACTAATATACATTTCATATATTTACTTGGTCATTTTCACTAAATTGAGCCAAAATATCTAATTGAATATCACTTTTTATTATTCCAACAATGAAAGGGGTAGGCGCTTGAACAAAATCAGTTATAGAAACCATTTGTGAAGGAAGAACTGAAATAAGGGTATGCTGCCAAGTAAAAGGATACAATGCAGCTGTAAGTCCATCTATACTACTCGATAATAAGCTAAAATAAATTTAAAAATATTAAAACAAAGTATAACATTATTTCCCATCATTTAGGGAAAAAAAATAAAGCGTAAAAGAAATCCTAGAGTTTTTTAATAGCTAATTTATATAATTAATAATATAATATAGAAATGATGTAAATACTACCAAAAAATAATAGTATTTATGACAAAATAGTATAATATATATTTGTTTAGATAGTATCATTAATAGTAGATTCTTAATTTTTTTCCATAAAACTAATAGTATAAAATAAGTAATTTAAATCATATTTTGATATTTACAATTTTTAAAACAATTATAGTAGAACTTGAATTAAACATGATACACTAAAATATATAATTTTTAAAGTTGTTAGGATTATCAACATCTCTTTTTAAACAATTAACAAGTAATATGAGGTTAGGGTATCCATATTTTTGAAGTTTTAAAATATGAGAAGTGCGCCCATCTGGAAATTTTTTTCTATGAGACCATAAGTAACATTTCCTCGTTAATTATGCTATATAATGCTAAAATTTTGTAGATATAACATTTAGAAGAAAAGTTTTCTTACTCCATAAGAAAATATTTCTTATATTATTTTTTTTATTCTATAGTATTAGAAGAATGTTTTAAAGAAAATTAGTTATTTTTAAAATTTTATAATTATATAATTATACCTAAAAAATTTTTTTAGTAATTTTTTGTGGCTTTTTGAGTTAAA